GTTAAGGAGGATGGCATCGGATGGCGGCTGGGAGGTAGATGGTTAGGTTATTGAAATAGCATAGATGGAATTATCTGCCCAGCCTAAGGGGTTTTAACGCAATTATAAGATCCAAGAGGTGTCTGTGTCTTATTAATTGCAATAGTGGGTTGCCGCCACAATAATTATGAGAATAATAAATAATATCATCTAGCCTAACACCTATTTTTATCGCCAAGAACAGTTTATAGTATAATCTTAACATATGTATTTTCCTTTTGAGAGCAGAGATAAAAGATTTTAAAGACTTTGGATGTAGAGTCTTAGAGCTAAGAGGCTTTGGGAGCATAGAGCAGAGTTTAGATGTTTGGGAATTATTTGTTTGTGGTTGAGAGAATCTGGAAATTTGATATGCCAATTTTTGGCCTTTGAATGGGGCCGGGTTTCTGTAATTGAGGGTCCACTGAAGGAAGAGAAAGGAAGAGCATGTGCCTGCAATCCAGCTGCAGGAGTGGGGAGGGGCTAGCTGCAGAGAAGGGTCCATGTGGAGGGAGAAGCAGAGAGTCTGAGCCATGTGGAGAAATCAGACTCTAAGTAGAATTTGGAATGAAAATCACAGACAAATGGTCCACACGTGCCTCAGGAGGGGTCTTGAAAATAGCTGCTTGCAGAAGACGGGGGTTTCCAACCCTGGCCTCCCCTGCCCTGACCTATTATAACTTACAGACAAGACATTTAAGCAGCATGGCTAGAAAGACAAGAGAGAAAGAGACGGGACTTTAAGAAAAGAGAAGGGAATCACTTTCCATTTCATCTATTGCTCTTAGTGTTCCTGAATAATATTAAAAATTTGATTATAAAGGCAAATAAATTTAAAGCCCTAAGGTCAGTTTTTAGGTGTAAAGGCTAGAGATTTCTCAAGGGGAATGAGAAAGTATGATGACACCATTTCTGTGGATGAGAAAGGGGAAGGAGGAATGCCACAAGCTGTTCACTGAGTCATCAAACATTCACTGGGGTCAGAGCTTTGCCTGGCTAAATCCAGAAAAACTCGGCACCTGGTACCTGGTACCAGGACTTTCAGAGAATCCAGAAGGCAAGGAAGAAAACCAAATTCTCGTAGAAAGATCTTATTCACAAAGACGAATTGAGGCAGAGTCAGAAAAGCCATGAGGGCCTAGAGGCGCAGTTCTGGAGTGGAGGTGATAGAGAAGGAGGAAGCGGTGCAGGGGTGCAGTAGCCCACTGGGACCGAATAGAAACTTCAAGTTTGCAGAGACAGGCGAAATTTATCTAACTGTCAGCGGTGGAGGACAGTGAGTAACCTGTGAGCTGGAAAGCAGATTGTATGCAAGTGGCAGGAGTTGGAATCAGGATCTCGGTGTGTGGCTTAGACCCCTGTGCAGCACCAGGGAGAAAGCAAATCTGTTGCAGGCACGAGTAGAAAGGATCTGGTTAAGCCAGGACAATGTGAGAGCCCATAGAGATTAACAGCACCAATGTTATAATAATATTTATGCCACAACATATCTGGTAAAAGGAGGTTTATTGTGGAAAAGGGGGAGGGGCGAGAGAGGGAGGGCAGGGAAAGAGAGGAGGGCACACATGACAAGGAGAGAAAGAAAAAAGAAACCAATGAGGGAGCAGAGGGAGAGTAAAGATAAGACAGGTAGAGAGAAAGAGTGAGAGAGCTGGGGAGGCAGGTGGGGTCTTTTATCTGGCACACACCTGGCATGCACCTGGTGGTGGCAACAGGTGATTTCATAAGAAGTTGCCAGGACCCTGAAAGGCAGGCTAGTGGGACCACCTGCACACTAATAAATGTAATTATAGGAAAAAAAATCAACCTGAGTGAGGTAACCAAGACCCAAAAAGACAGATATAGTTTGTATTCACTTATAAGTTCATATTAGATGTTAAGTGAATGATAATCAAGCTACAACCTGCAGACCCAGAGAGGTTAAGTAAAGAGAAGTGTCCTATGGGGAAAACATGGATTTCCCTGGGAAGAAGATATAGATTTTTGGGGGGTGGACTGTGGGTGGGTGGGGCTTGAGTGATGTTGTGGGAACCTAGTACAGTGGAAACTTTCTGGAATTTATGAGGGTGTCCCTAGCGAGTGCTCCCAGTAGTGGAGAAGGATACAGAGTCTGAACTGACCATCTTTTGTAGTCAGGCAAGTCTTCCAGTGGTGGGACTGAGCTGCCTTCAATTGAGTTGGCCAATGGGATCCCTTAGAGGTCACTAAACAACCAAGGTTGATGCTAGGACATAAGGTCATTCTCTGAAAACTGACAGCCAGGGTCCATTGCCAAGGACAACATCTAACACAACTCACTGAACATAAAATGGTCGAGCTGGTCTCTTCATGAAAACGTCACCCCTATGTTCTAGTCCGTTTGGCACAGGAAGGTACTTCGCCAGCTAATGAAAGAGAAACTTAGACAGCAATTTAGCCATAAAATCTTTGGCCTATGATAAAACAGGATCAGATGAATGGGGAGGAGGTCCCCCCTATTAGTGGACTTGGCAAGGGGCACGGTGGAGATGAGGGAGGGAGGGAGGGACTGGGAGGGAATGAGGGATCGGGACACAGCTGGGATACAGAGTTAATAAAATGTAACTGATAAGAAAAAAATAAAATTAAAAAAAAAGATGTATAGGATGGTTTAGAAAGGTTTATTGGAGACAAACAAATAAGCTAATAGATATTCTTTAGTAAAGTTTTTAATCATGTTTAATAAATACTCTGATGGATTCTTTCTTATCATTTTTTTGAGTAATAGCCATCAGATTATTTGAATGTTTTTATATGCAGCTGATCTTTTTAATTCCGAGAGAACAGACACTCGGGAGAAAAGAATGCAGGCACCAAAACCTATCATGGTCACGTCTAAAGGCATACCCGTGAGTTCAGAAGGCATGCTTCACAAACACACTTTAACATACTCTTTTTGGTAAAATTAAGTTTAGTTATTCCTGTGTTAACGCAATCAGGAGAACATTAAAAGTAATAAAAATACAAGGTCCTAGGAAGCTCACATTTTAAAACTTAAAAAATTCCTTTAATAAAATAAAAAAAAAATCTTTGGCCTACAATATGTGCTCCCTCAAGATGTGCAGCGGCAATGATGGCACAGAACTTACAGGAGTGTAGGAGTGGCCAGCAAATGACTGGTCACCTTGAGGTCCAAGCCTCTTCCCTACACGTCCTAGATGACCAGAAACCAGACACTGGATAGCCCAGAGATCTAGGGCAGAACCAAACACAACTGGCCAAAATAATAATAATAATAGATAATTCAATGAAATATTTTCGAACAATATTCTGCTCTACCCATAGATCTGCGCCTTGTCCAGTCATCATCAGAGAAGCTTTCTCCGGCAGCAGATGGCAGCAGGTACATATAGAGACCCACAGCCAGCCATTATGCAGAGCGAGTCTAAATTGTAGGTTTTCGTTGGGTCCCCACGTGCTGAGATCTGGGAATCCCACCAAGGATTGGGAGAAAAGATTCCAGCAGTAAGAGGGTATGGAGGACACCATGAGAACTTGGCCCACTGAATAACCTAAGCAGGGCTCATACGGGCTCATAGAGCCTAAAGTAGTAAGGACCTAAGCGTGGGACCTAAAGAGATCTGTACAAAGTCTACTCCTAAGTATAGGCTATAGCTGTTAGCTTGCTGTTTTTGTGGGACTCCCAACAGGGGGAGAGCGTGTGTATCTCATTCTTTTGCTTGCTCTTGGGACTCTTTTTCTCCTATTGGGTTTCCTTGTCCAGCTTCAACAGGAAGGCTTTTGCCTTGTCTTATTGTATCTTGTTATGTTGTGTTGTCTCTTGGAGGCCTGCTCCTTTTTTTGAAAACAAAAACAAAAACAAAACAGGGGGGAGTAGGTCTGGGGAAGAGAGGGATAGGGGAGCTGGAAGACTGAGTGAGAGAAAACTATAGCCAGCATGTTTTGTATAAGAAAACAATCTATTTTCAATAAAAAACAAATGCACACATAAAGAGAGTAATAGTAACTTTATATCCAACTTTTGCTTTTCAATAAAATTTCAGACAAAAATAATTTGTTTTTATTTTTTATGTATGAGTGTTTGCCTACATATATCTGTGTACACCGTGTGTGTGGCCAATGTTTATAGAGGCTTATAGGGGAGACCTTAAAACTAGAGTTATAGATGGTTATGAACTACAATGAGGTGCTGGAAAATGAACAACCCAGGTCCTCTTAAAGAGCAAGAGGACATGAGACAAAAAAGAAATAGGGTCGGGGGAAGGACGAAATTAAAGGAAAGGGTGAAGGGAAATTGTATGTGTGGGAGAGGGGCATCTATGCAATCACCAATTCCAGCAGAATGTCAATCTGTGTGAGAAAAGGTAATTTGTTTCAACAAGACTCAGGAGTCAGTGTAGTGTTGGCCCAAACTTTTGAGTGTCTGACACAGATTAGTTTATTTCAGGCACCTCCAAGGACAGCACAATTTGAAAAAAGTTTTTTTGGTGATAATTAACTCAATATCATGTGCACAGCAAAGCTCAAGATATGATTACATCAAAACTAATATAAACTCCAAGTGACATCTTCCACAAAATTAATTAAGGAAGCACTTTTAAGGTAAACAAAGGTCTTGATAAGGATATGCAGGAGGACAGTATAATAGATAAACTGAGATAAACAAGCTTGAGATAACAGGCTAGGGAAGCTGGTTCGGACTGGCCATACAGATAACACAGAGGTTACCAGGGTATTAATCTTCTCCTCTCCTAGCCTTCTGGGTAAAACCAAAAAGGTAATACATATCTCCATTTAAATTGTGTATTTAATACGGCTGGTTTTCCTGTTGCTTACCTATGTCTCCTACGTCTCTCCCCTGTAAATTTTTCAAAGAGAAATTAATAGCTGTAATAGAGGTCAATGTTCAATGTTAACATACCTGGCTAGTCTAACTAATATAGACATGCATTAGAGAATTATAACGATAGTCAACAGAGGACCAAGGAAAACAGAAAGTCATCTTATTTTGTCCTCATTGTTTCTCCAAGGTCTTGGAAGTCTTGATGTCTTCCCATGTTATAGGCTTCCTCTTCTTGAAACATCTCCCCTAGATGAGTTTTTATATCTACTTTCAGATGCTTCATTTGTCTGGTGGTCTCTGGGATACTTTTCTGGTTGGATGCATCGAAGTAGAAGCCAGTTAGGACTTTGTTCAATTTCTGAAAAGACACAATTATAACCTTACCCTCATTCTACAAGAACTTCAGGGCCTTTCCATTGATTAATTTTTAGATCATTTTATGTAACATATACTTTAGAGTGTGTCCCCATCCAGGCAAAAGTTTTTGGGGGGCAGCAGAAAAGGCATTATCCTATAAAGTAAAATAAAATGATTACGTTTTACATAGCGAAATGTGGCATAGTATGCAGGGATTCTGGTGGCCCCTTTTTCATTTTTAAAATCTGTTGTTTAGGTATTTGATGGTGTCATTCTACAATAGCTTAATCCTATGGAATGTAAGGGGTTTCAGGAACATGTTAAAGATTTTGTAAATTGTAAAAAGTTTTACAGTATTTGTTTGTACAAGCAGGACAGCTATCATCATTTAGTTGTAATGAGAGTCCTAGAAAAGAAATATACAAAGAGCTGTTTGACAAAGTCAAGTTTCACACATGACACAACAATATTTTTTGTGGAGTCCCCAGTGCCCCATTTTATGCCTGAGGCAATGTTCCGCAGGTGACCATTTAGCAAGTGACAGTGTGCATGCCTTTAGCGCACTCCAAGCACATGTTTCTATACACCTGACAGAGGAGAAGCCCCAGACATAGACACCCTAGTTCCAGATATTATGTGAGAACCACCCGTTAATTATTCACTGGAAGCTTGGAATCCTACATAACGGATGCCTTCAATACAGGAAAAGCTATTATGAGCCTCCTCTAACTTCCTCCCTTGCCAGAGTCTGATTGTTCATGACAGATTAAAGAAAAGCAGGAAAGTAAAATAAATAAATAAATAAAACCTACTTAACAATGTCATTAATTTCTAAAGATCTATGTCTAAGGCTTTTGTATAATATTTAGGAATTTTGAAATTTAGGGCATTTTACTTAAAAGCTCAAAATGTCTCTCCTAGTAGGTAAAAGGATATTCAAAAGTACCTGAGAAATAATCACAGAAAATACTGAAGGAGAAAATGCTTTTTATTTTTACTGCAACCATGAAAGTATCTAGCTGATACTGTAAATCAGTGTTTTTCAACATTTCTAGTGCATTATTTAATAAGATATTCAGCTGCTCTGCTTTTAGTGTTGTTTTGGGGGAGGTTAACTGGGAGCCTCCAGAAAAACACTTAGAGTGGAGCCAAATTCTTAGTAATGATAGGCAGATAAGAACATACTGAATTGATATTAACCAAAATTTTTGTAAATAATCGAGAGTACATTGTTTGGAAAGTTTTAAGTTCAGAGGATGAAGAATACATTGTTGAGTAATTATATTTTCTAATTCATTATAAGGTAGTTGCTTTTGGTTTCATCTGGTGCTTTGTTTAAATTTTGTTCTTTTAGTTTATTTACCATGAAAGTTAAACACTTATTTAAGTATTGATTAGGTGACCAGGGGAGGAGACTGTCATCCATATTTGAATGAACAATACCTCAGAAAGATAAATCACACTGGCTTAAATGCTTTACGTACATAATGTTGACATATAATGTGGCTATTTTCCTTCCACTGTGTTAAAACTTTCCACTGATATCAGGTCATTGATTATTGATTATTTAAAGTAGAAACAGAGTACAACATATTCCTTATCACCAGGATGTTAAAGAAATAGAAAAGAAGCAGGCTTTTAAGCCAAATATACCACTGTAATGTCCTTGAGGAGTCAGACTAGGTGCAGAGAGCCTAGTGGGGGGGAGGGGGTCCCCATTGTTTTCATAGTAGTATTTATATCTCTAAGATCATGTAACAGGCAAAACTTACTCTTTACCTTTTTATCAATTATAAAAATAGGGGAATTTCAAGAATGTTCTCTATGTCCTAGTTGAAATTGTCCCTGTATTAGAAATAAGCTCTATTTTAACTTTTTCCCATGTGGGGGCTGTTATTCATCTATGCTGCAACATTCCTGCTGTGAGGGAATGTGAGGGAAAACAAATAGCTAAGCACCTGGACAACTGAGCCCTAGAGCTCAAGTGGGGGTTATGGAGCCCTAACCACTATATCCTGGAACTCTCGGCTGTTCCAACAGATGCTGATCTGGCTGGACCTGAGCAGAGGAAAAAGTGGCCCTGCCAGGACTTGTCAATATATGACCAGACGAGAAATCTCTCTCTCTCTCTCTCTCTCTCTCTCTCTCTCTGTGTGTGTGTGTGTGTGTGTGTCTGTCTGTCTGTCTGTCTTTCTGCCTTCTCCTCCTCTCTCCATCCCTTCCCTCCACCTTCTCTCCCTCACTCTCCCTTCCTGCTTCTCCAAATTATCCTCTTGAGAGGGTCCCAGCAATACATTGCAAAATCATAAAAGAGATTTCATCTCACCTTGCACCGGCTGTCTTCACATTGGCTCTACTGTGTTTCTAATTATCAACATCTATGGTTCCTTTTGTTTAGACACCAGGGATTGAATTTTATAGTCACTTGTACAGAGTTGCAAAACTGTTGCTCTGATTATTTTGATCCTCTGGATCTTAACAAACATTTCAATGACTATAAAATGCTGTCTCACAGGACTGAGAAGAAACCATACCCAGTTTACGCTCTCACTTGTGGTTGCAACCCCGTGGGTGAGAGAATCAAACTCCTACTCTCTGTTTCTATTTAAAGAAAAATTTCTAATTTCTTCCGAGAGTTGAGCCCCTCATGCTAGGCATCAGTTGGAGTGGGATTTGTGTGTGGGAAAGAGGCTACTATCGCCAAAGCCAGCGGAGTGATGATTTATGTAAGGTAAGAAGGCAGTTTGTTTCAACACGACTCAGTAGTCAGTGATGGTCCAGACCTCAAGAGTCTGACATCAGCAGTTTATTTCAGGCATGTATAAGGAGAGCACAGTTTGGAAACCAGTTTCTTAGAGATAATCAATCCCATGGGCACAACAAAACTAAATATATAACTACACCAAAACTATTGTAAAGTCCGAGTGATATCTTTCATAAAGATAGGTTCTATACATTAACTAAGGAAGCAGATTCATGGTGAGTAAAGGTGGTGATAAAGGTTTTGGGGAGGATAGTGCTACTGACTGGCTGAGATAAACATGCTCAAGGAAAGAATCTTGGGGATCTGGTGTGTCCTGGCCATACAGATAGCAGAGAGGTCCCCAGGCAATCACCTCAGCTTCCAAACTTTTAGGCAGAAAACAAGTAATAGATATCTTCCTTTAAAGAAACAACACGTGTGTTTAATATTTCTGGTTTCTGTGGTGCTTATTTTTGAAAACAAGCACCTATATTCCTTCTATAGGAAATGGCATAAATATAGTAATCCTATACGAATTTCTCAAAGCAAATAATTTGTTAAAGAGCAGCAACTGTTCTTAACGGCTGAGCCATCAATCACTCCAGATGCATGTATGTGTGTACATTTCTACTGGAACATTTCAGGATTCTATGTAATGGATAAATCACAAGAATATATCGTGGAAGTTTTCTTTTGGGTTATCAGTTTTATACTCTCATTTATTTTTAGGTAAAAATATGTTTACACAGTAAGGGCAGGGATGTTTAGCTTTAGAAATTAGTTAGAGGACATTTCAAAGATGTAGCCTTCACAAATACAAGTTTATAAATGTAGCTGGTCTGGCCCTTAGGGGTATTTACATAATTTTCTAAAAGAAAACTATTAAAATTTAAATGAATGTTTGTACCCTTTAAAATGTAAGTCTAAACTATTATAGATCACATTTAAAAAAAATAGTACAGTGCTTGCAAAAGGCTCATTATGCAGAGGCTTTCCAGAATGTGTGGAAGAAATGACCGACTACCTGTCTGTACCTTGGAATGATATCATAACTGTACAGTAAGCTCTGGGACAGTCATTAACCCGAGAGACACCAACACTGACACCAGGGAAAGCTCCAGGATTCCTATCAGGAGGCTATGGTCTAGCAGCCTTTATACAACACACAGTTCTTCATTTGGCTTTTTTTTTTTTTTTTATGTTACTAAGATGAAAGGACCAGAAAGGTCACCTCTTAGACATGTGAGCACTGGTCACCTGAAACAGATCTTCTGAGTTGCTGCTATTCCCATCATAGTTACCTTCCAACCTGAAGTAAATGAAGGAAATGAGCTTGAGGATGAACACTATCAGCACACACAGGATCACACTAATATCTTCCAACCACAGAGCATCCAATTCAAAATGCGGATCTGAAGCTGGGACTGGAAGAGGGGAAAGAATCAGAACAGTTGCAGCCAGGAGAGGAGGTTACTTTATACAAAATGTAGAATCACTTTTCAGGTTCCTATTGTTCAATGCTTCCTACAAAAAACAAAACAAAACAAAACAAAACAAAAAACTAATAGAGAACAAACTTTGCCTATTTGATGGAGATGAGCATGTTTGTGTCAAGCCTGGAAGAGGAGACAGAGAATGGCTTGAGGTACCCATTCTCCTCAAGTATCATGGCTTTCTCTTACCAGTCTGTCTGAAAATCACATGGATATATTGTGGTTTTATTTAGTGCTGAGGCTGCCCGGGAGCTCTGACCATGGAGGGTATGGTGAACAGAGCATTCTTAGATGATCAGGGTCTCTGGAATGGAAGAGGTCTTACAATTCTCAAGTATCATATTCCCTGGGAAGCATCCTCCCTCCATCCTCATCTTCATCTGTCTTCACTTTCCGTCTGCTACACCTCTCCCCTGATACCCATCTATACCATTCCCTTTCTCAGCATGGATGTCTGTTCAAGACCCACCCATTGAGAGTCTAGATCTTTGTGATGAGGAACGTTTGATACTTCCCCATCCACCCACAGATGTGCCTTGCAATGTAGGGCACAGATGTTCATCAAGTACATCCTTCTGAAAATTTTCAGGTGAGGAATAGTTTCCTGGCTCCTCCTCGGGTTTGTGGCTAGCTCTGAAATAAAACTGAAAGAGACAGATTCGTAGGAGAAAAGAACAACAGATAATCACCAGTGTTCTTTATGATAGAGCATCTTTTAGGACAAAGATTCCCAGCTCAGGGTGACTTATCTATTTGTATGCCTCTGCTTGGTGAATCATGGGCAGCTGTTTCTCAGTATGATAGGACTAAAGAACAGACAAAACGTAGCCTGCCAGTTTGGTTTGTTTCCGGCTTCTGTTTTTCTCTCTGTGATGTAGGTCAGATCTCTTCTCAGATGAAGTTCTTATGGCCTACTGCCAAAACCAGGCAAGAGAATTTCTGCCTTGGCCAACTCGTAGAAACAGAGGTCTGGAAGTTAGGGCAGGGTCTTCAGAATTTCAAAAAAGGAGGAACTAGATTCCTGATTCAATTTGGTATAGAGGAATTCTAGATTTTGGCCTGCCTCAGGAGGAAATGTGAGAAGGAGAAAGAAGGGCAGAGGGAGGGTAGGAAGGGTTTCCATTAATGCCCTTTGGGGTCTCCTTCAGTTTTAAATGCACAGTGTACTGAAGTAACATATTTTGTATTTTCATTCTCAGAATTTCAACAATCCCCACTGGACACAGGCACTGCACCAGTTAGCATTGGAGCCATCAGTAAGCCAAATAGACAGAATTCCTCTGGAGAAGAGCTCCCCACAGAGTTCACAGTGTGGTGATGGTGGGAAGTAGAAAGACAAAAACAACGACAGGTGTTGGCAAGTGCATGAAGAAATGGGCATTCTCGTGTATTCTGGTGGGAATTTCAAATGATGAGGACATGGCATGTTATCTCCTCAGAAAAAAATACAATTACCATGTGATTCAGAGTTTTGGACATATGTGCAGAAGAATGGAGAACACTCTCTAGGAGCGGTATTTGTTTGCCTGTTTTCACAGGAGAATCAGGGCCAATAACGAACAGATGCACAATCCATACTTTTATTCTTCGGGCCTGATCTAAACCATTAGAAGCTACCGTTCTATACACAGAAGTCAAAATAGCATGGGAAGGAAGTCATGCTTTGTCCCAGCTCCCTTGTGAAAAAAAGAAATAAAATCTTCTAAATTTCATTTGTCAATGTGCCCATAAATCTTCATTTCCAGCCTGTAACTTCAGTTTTCATGTGTGTAACAGGCCCTTTTATAAAGCAGAAGACACCATTATTTTTCATTTTAATTATGGCAAAGCTACCTGATATTAAATTTACCACATTGGCCATTTTTTTTACTTTATAATTTTGTGACATTAGGTACATTAATATTGTGCAACTCCCATTACCATTCATCTTTGTAAATGTATTTATATTCCCAAATTAAATTGAGTCCATCAAAAATAAGACCACACCTTTTTTTTTTTTTTTTTCTGCTTCTAGCTTCTGTAAACGGCCACTCTACTTTCTACATGTAAGATCTGTATTACTTTAAGGGCCTTATTTAAGAAGAATAAGTGTCTTTTTATGACTAAATTGTTCTACTGAGGATAAGGCCCTAAACCTCATCTATGCGTATATCTTATTGCCCAGTTTACACCTTACTCTTATGTGTTTTAAGGCTGATGCTGTGTACATTTCACAGGAGGAAATGAATGACAAACTCTTCTAGTGATTCCGCATTATGATTTGTGGCTTCAGCACTGGCTTACTATAACTCAGCAGTTCTTCATTTGTGGGTCACATCCATCAGAAAACACATATTTCAAACGGTTTAGGAACCTCTCACCATAAATTTATGTTTATTGCTACTTCATAACTTTAATTTTGCCACTGAGAAGTGTCTCAGTTCCTAACATCATGGGAAATATGTTTTCCAATGGCTATGATTCACAGGTTGAGAAGTGCTACATAATATAGGATCATTTTGTCTCAGGGCACTGTGCCTTTGTACATAATTTCCCTAAGCACCTTAAAGGTAAAATGGAGGACAAACATTTCAAATATATCCTTGTATTTTAATTTCCATCTTTATTTTACCCTCAATGATGAAAAGAAAGAATGACCCCAGCTGTCTATAGACACCATAAAATCAAACAAAATTTGTTGGAAAAATGGGTAATTTAGAGAAGGATGTCTTTTGATTTGCATCAAAATCTAAGAAAAAGTTTTGAATTTAAAATTATCTTTTTACAACGCAGATGTGTTTTAAAATTAATAGTATTCAAATCATTGCTCAATTATAGCATTTCACTTTGACAATTATTATTTGAACCAATTTTGCTTTTGTGAATATATATTATTTTGAATTTATTCTTTAATGTTCTTTTTTTCGCCCAAGACAGGGTTTCTTTGTGTAGCCTTGGGGATCCTGGACTCACTTTGTAGACCAGAACTCACAGAGATCTGCCTGCCTCTGCCTCCCTGAATGCTGTCATTAAAGGTGTGGGCTACCATGCCTTACTACAAATAATTTTTTTACAACATATTCTTATTATGTTTTTCCCTCCACTCTGCTGTTCTCAGCTTCTTCTCATCTCCTCAGCCACCCAACTTGAAGACTTCTTTTACTTTCTGATTTTACAAAAGTTGATATTGGACACAATGTATCTCAACCCCCTTTTACTACAACATCCTCTGAGCTCTCCAATTCATCTCCCTCCCTATGTCATGTCCTTTTTTTAGTTTTTGGTAAAGCAATGAGTTTTATGGGTGTTGCTGCTGGCTTGTAGGGCGTGGAGTCACAGAGGCATAGGCAACCTACCAATGGCCAAACTACCAAAGAAAACAGACTCTTGCTCCCCCAGCATCCATTAACTGCTAATAGCTCCTCAGCTGGGGTTGGCACCTAAGATGCCCTGCTCTTTTTAATGCTGGAAATTTTAGCGGTTAGACCTTGATTATAAAGGTTTGAGATATTGGAACAAGAGAGATGGCCCAGCAGTTAAGAGCACTAACTCTTCTTTTTGAGGGCCCAGCAACCACATGGTGGCTAATAACTACCTGGGGAACCTAACACCATCTTCTGGCTTTCACGGGTACTATACATGAAGGCAAAATACCACTGCACATAAACAATATTTAAAAAGACTGGAAGTTTAACATACTGTATTATTATCTCCTTTAGACTAAAAGTATAAGGAATTCAGAACAATTTACTAGGTAATTATGATTGTTGAATTTCTGAAAAAAAAAACCCACTATAATTTGTAAAGAAATTCTTTTGGAGCAGAGTAATCAGCTGCATACACTCTTAAGCCTATAAAATACAGGATTCTGGGAGCTAGAAATTGTGGTTGTGTTCTAATGGCCCACTGACACTGTATTTCAAGCAACAATCATTCTTCTTTTGTTAAATGTCTTACTGGGGAGATGGGAGAAGATTTTTACCAGATGGCATCAGCCTCTTGCTTACATACCTCTTTGCTTTAGATGCAAAAGGAGCATGACTCCTACAATTGCACACATGGAAATCATGAATACCATTGGGCCCTTTATGCAATGACAAATTCTCATGCAGTAGCTACCTAAAACAAAAAAAATAATGTTATAATCACTTGATATTTCACTGAGGATACTCTACATTGGAAAGCATACATTAAGAAATTAAGAGCTAATGTGTGTGTGTGTGTGTGTGTGTGTGTGTGTGTGTGTGTGTGTGTGTAAAGTGAAATATATCAGCTTACACATGAAAGGGCTATTTTTCAATACTTTCTGCTTGTGTTCATAGATGAAGAAAAGATTTTGGATTAGAATATAAGATAACAGGAGTGAAAAGGAGAGTTGTTTTTAAGATGGGGCAGGTTTGAGATTGAGATTAAGCTCAAAGGAGAGTAGCTAATTTTTCCACTACTCTATCTCATTTGTCATGAGTGGGCATTATTAAGATCAAGAGACAGAGCTATGCAGTCCTGATTATTATTTTTCTGGGTTTTTAAAGAGGATGAAAGGAGGATAGCTCTGAAGTCCCCTAAACAATGCAACAGGTCCTAATTTTCTTAATAGGAAACAGTTTATCTCTACAGGGCATTATCCAGCACAAAGAAAGTTGTGACTTCGTGGCTTTCAGGCGAGTGGGCACAGGCTAGGCCCCACAAAAGGGAGGCTGGCAATGGCGTGCTGTTTCAGTCGGACAGCAGTGTTCAGAAGGCCACTGGGAACGACATAACATAGGGATGTAAACAATGAAGCCCCAAAACTTTGGAGAAATACAGAAGCATTCATTCCTAGACCCTTAGGTGATGGCTGTACTGCATTCATTGGAGTACATCTAGGGGATCTGAATGTCTTAGATAAATAGAACTATGGCAAAAGAGGTGTTAAAATTTTAATTTATTGCCACATATTCATCACATATAGCAATGAATTTCTTTAATATATTTTCATTCAGATATTCACTAATCATTGACCATATTGCCACCCCCATAAAAATCTTTTGTCTCCCTCCCTCTCACGTAATGGTCCCTTTTATCTCCCAGACCATGTTGTTTTAACATTAACATCACACATATTTAAAAAGTTTCTCGTAGCTATGTAAGCTTTATAATCCACAATTGAAGAAAATCATAACTGTATTTCTGAGTTATATTAGTTAAAATATCAATTTCCCGGTGCATTCCCTTCATGCCCTACAAATAACTGACAGTCCAATTCTTTGTAGCTCAGTAAAACTTCACCATATCATATCATTACATCATTACATTATTACATCATTACAATGTGATATACATTGTATATCACATCATTACATATTTTTATCTGTTCCTCTGTTCACAGACCTCAAAACTGATCTCATGCTTACTTGACTACTTTGAGTACCGCCTTAATAAAATGAAACGTACAGTTATTTCAGCTTTGCGGTAACTTGGGGTCTATGGGAGTATACATAGAGTAGTCATAACACTAGGGCATATCAAAGTTCTAAGTTTAGGTTTTTGAGAGTCTTTGCCATATGATTTGTTATGGGAGGATGTGAACAAACAACAGTCTCAGACGTAACATCTACAATAGAACAAAGAAAGTATTCTACTTTCAGTCCAGTTTGGTGGACCAGTGAGTTTCCCGGGATTACTTGGAAGAACATGGGTTACTCAATGGTAACTGTGTAACTGAAAGGTTCCTTTCAGCACTAATGGCAAGTCACGAATATTGCTTCTCTGGAGATCTTTGCTCAACTTAAAGGGAATTTCAACGAAATGATTTTTCTCCAGAAGTTGTTTACTGATTTTATAAGTAATAATGAGGGTGAGAATTATGAAATATATAAGTTATGTGAGTTTCCTGATCTTTTTATGCTTCCTTTGTTTCTTAAGTGTTAGTAATCTTCCTTTACTTGCTTGGAAAAAATTCTATTAAAAAAAAGAACTACACAACACCCTCTCCCCCGTTCCTTCCTCCAACTCTTGTGTTCTTTTGTTTCATTTTTATGACCTTTTCTGAACTTTGAAAGGAGTTGTGCAGGTGTCTTTATTTGTTGTTTCACAGATGCTTTTCCAAATCTATAAGACACTCACGAGTTAGCCTTACACAATGAAATCTCTTTTATAGAACGTGGGCGGGATCTTTGAAGTACTATCCACCTCAAGCAAGAGTCCATTGGTTCTTGGGGGCTAAAAGAATACTAATGAGCCAGGGTGAATACTGCATGAAAACGTCCTACCCTTTGTATCAATTATTTCATTATGAAGATCCATGCTGGTATAAGTGCATGGACATTAGAAACTATCCATGTAGCCATCTACAACTCAATCATATTTTCTAAGTCATCAGGTCTCCACGTCCTGGGGTGCAGCTCTTGTAGGAACCCTGAGGCTCTTTCCAACCTTGATAGTTCTTTGGGTTGTGCTATTTTGTGCTGCTCCTTCTGGCTCAACGCTAAGGAGGAACAGGGTGTTATATAGACTTCTGTGTCTATTGCTGCAGCTGGCTCCCTGGCTGACCAGTTCTGATCCAGCCCCACAGCCTCTTTTCTTCATTAACCATATATGATTATAGAAAGGTGATAAATGAAAACATTCACTTTGGGGATACTTATTTACATGGAAGAAACGCCGCATATTCTGGCATATATCTATCTCTATGAACAGTTCAATAATTTCCCTATGCTGTTTCATCATTTATGCCTTCCATGAACTGTTTCTCAGGCTTTAAAGCCTTCTAGAAGCCTACCAATATATAACATTTGATATTTTGGTGAAAATGTCCCCTAGCATTCCATCTATCACATTTATCTTAGAGTGAACTTGTAGATCCTTTTGTCTACTTTGCTTCATCAGCTTTTTTTATATTAATTGCAGTTTATTTGCTTTTTATCCCAGCTGTAGCCCCCTTCCTCATTCCCTACCAATCCTACCCTTCCTCCCTCTTCTCCTCCCATGCCCCTCTCCAAGTCCACTGATAGGGGAGGTCCTCTTCCCCTTCCATTTGACCCTAATTTATCAGGTCTCATCAGGACTGCCTGCATTGTTTTCTGTGGCCTAGCAAGGCTGTTCCCCCTTCAGGAGAAGGTGGTCAAAGAGCCAGCCATAGAGTTCATGTCAGAGACATAATAAAACACTTGCAAATCGAATCCAAGAACACATAAAATATATCAGCCACCACGACCAAGTAGGCTTCATCCCAGGCATGCAGGGGTGGTTCAATATATAAAAATCCATCAATGTAATCTACCATATAAACAAACTGAAGGAGAAAAACCACATTATTATCTCCTTAGATGCTGAAAAAGCATTTGACAAAATCCAACACCCATTCATGTTTAAAGTCTTGGAGAGATCAGGGATACAAGGCACATACCTAAACATAGTAAAGACAATATACAGCAAGCCTATAGCCAATATCAAACTCAATGGAGAGAAACTTAAATCAATCGCACTGAAATCAGGGACAAGGCAAGGCTGCCCAGTGTCTCCATATCTCTTCAACATAGTACTTGAAGTTCTATCTAGAGCAATAAGACAACTAAAGGAGATCAAGGGGATACAAATTGGAAAGGAAGAAGTCAAAGTATCACTATTTGCAGATGATATGATAGTATACATTAGCGACCCCAAAAATTCAACCAGAGAACTCCTCCAGCTGATAAACACCTTCAGCAAAGTGGCTGGATAAAAAATTAACTCAAAAAAAAAATCAGAAGCCCTCCTGTATACCAAAGACAAAAGGGCCGAGAAAGAATTAGGGAAACAACATCCTTCACAATAGCCACTAATAACATAAAGTACCTTGGCGTGACTCTAACCAAGCTTCATCAGCTTTTGAATGACAACAGTGTAAGTCATTCAGATCTGTCAAAGCCTTTTCTACCATGCAAAGATCACATCCAACCAAGGGGGCTCAGCAAAGCCACTAAAGTTCCATAGCAGTAGCTGAATTAGCTTTTTCCTTTAGTTTTTGCAAAGAGATTCTAGCCATCCTGGGCACTGGCTATCTCCTCTGTAGCAAAGTCTCCTGCCTATTCTTCTTCTGTTGCCTTCCCTAAAGATGCTGTGGAAATCTTGGCTGGAGCATCTGAGTTTCATACTCAGATGAAACAGATGCCATACTCACCCATGAGGTATTCCACCTGAAGCCACCGAAAGAAAGATTTCCACAAGAACAGCCTCCTT